ATTAAAAAGAAAAACAAATAATGATGTCAGAGTGGATGAAGCCTACAAATTCATGCGAAGTGTACAAGAAAATATGAACGTAAAAAATGATTTTTCAGTTTATGGGGAAAATGTAGCCAGCAGAATTCGCGGTGCTAATCAAAATGTGCGAGCTATATCTATTGCCAAAAATCGCATAGATAATATACTTTTTTAGTTAGAAATGGGCGCTTTTGCGGTATCTGAAGAGGAAACATATGGTGCAAGACAACATTTGTATCAATTTCCATATAATATCAATAACAGATACTATCCAAAAATGAATACTTCGCAAGCAACACCTACGCATTCTTCAGATTATCAGATATCAGTGTGTACAACATCCTCAACTCCCTACCCGCCACCGTCATCTGTGCAAAGTCAGCCAATGCATTCTTCCCATACACTACAACATCAAAATCAGTCAACACCAATGCAGAATCAACCGCAAACTCAGACACAGATAATTTGGCAACCAACAGAATCTCAACAGCCTCAATCACAAATTTCTTTTCCACAACAAAGTAGTGACATTGCAGAACTTAATGAATATCTTCTCCGCAGAGCCAATTCTAGATGAAATAATATTAGTAAAGATTCTACTTTTAAGTAGTATAGGTACATATATTTTTTTCAAGAAATTAATTTGTTTGGTTTTTCCTTTTTCTAAATGAACAATAACTATGGAAAAACATATATTACTTTTTTAATTATTATTATTATTAGTTTCTAATTATCTATTTACTTGACAATATCCTTTTAGAACTTCGAATATTGCTTCACATACTTCAGGTACAATTGTAGAAATTGTTTGCTTCGATATCATTAACAGGTACATAAGACTAGTAAATGAATTTCCTGTGGCTAAATATCGTAAAGTAACCGCTAATCTTATTGATGGCGAAATAGCGGCACGGTAGTTTGTATTTTTTTCGCGATCTTAGGAGCTACCAAACGGAGAAGTTCTTCAAAATCAGATTTAGTTAGTCTAACGAAATTGTTTAATGAACTGCCGTCGTTTAAAAGTAATTCAGACATTAAGTTGTCACTATAGCTTATACCATTTTTTAAAAATTTTCTCTGCACCATTTTCTTTTTCTTACTTTATCATGTGTAGCTATGATGATGAATGCAGTACTAGCACCAGCAGCAGCAGTTGTCAGATCCATTTGGTATTTGTTTAAAATAAAGTATTTATTTTTTAAATATTTATATATTTTAATTTTCACTTTCACTTTTTAACACTTTAAACTACAACTACAACAGACGGATGTGGACTGTTGACGCGCAATTATTATTTGCTTTGAACGCGCCACTCTGTTGACAACATGTTTCTGAATCCGACAAATTTGTTTCCAACATTCGGCAACGTGTTGCCAACAAAATGTTGCTTGGTCTATACGTACCTTTATATCAACACGCTCTTTTCAGATTTTTTTTTCTTCATTATCGATTAGTCGCGATGCCGTGTGCCCGTATCTGACGAGTGCCGACGCGGTATTTGTATTTACTATTTCGTGTTCTCATCACTCATCATTGTAAATTGTCATCAATACTTTTTAGTTATTTATAATTCTATGATATTAAACAATTTAATAATTTAATTTAAATTATTTACGTTCCGGCGTCTGAACATTGACAACTGATCACTTCGGCAGATGGCGATTCCATAAAAAAAAAACGTGCTTATATAATGTAAGTATCTATTATGTCAATATAATTATTATTAGGTATATTATTACAATTACCTATTTTTCATATAGACATCAAATTATATTATATTATTATAATTATATTATCATATTTATATATAACTATGTATTTTACAGTTAAACAAAATAATTGCAGTGTTTTTGTATTTATCCGAGTATTTATCCTTCTTAATTCATATTTACAGCAAGTTCCAGTGGCGTTTCCTGATTTTCGGCGTCAGGCGTTAATGTGTGATTGATTAGGACCCCCTCCCCTTTATGAAAAATAAATTCTTATCAAATATCAACATATTATTATTAAAATTATTTATTTTACATACTTTTTAAGTTTTTAAAAATATATAAAATATTTATTAAATTAAATTATTATACAAACTGAAAATGTTTTAATAAATATATTCTATTATAGATTGATTTTTATTTGTATTCCAATTCTATTCTTCTCTCTTTCTCAGTAAATTTGTTTATAACATCTTCATAAAATTTATTTCTGTTTGCTCTTAATTTGAAAACCAATTCTTTTTCTATTGATATTACACTTAAACTGTTCATTCTTTCTTGTATTTGAGTTGAGCGACAATATGTATGGATTCTTTTTAAAGATGAAAATGATCTCTCCACTGAAGCGGTTGATGTTTGTATAGTAGATATTAATTGAGCCAATTTATACACCCCGGAAAATCCACTGTTTAAGCTCATTTCAGAAAGATAATTCATAATTTCAATAGGGCTTTTATCGGATGATTCGTTTAAGGTATACCATACAAGTAGTTCATTTTGTAGTTTACCATAGTTGAAAAAATTACCATAAATATGTTGTACATTTTTAATTAAATTAGATGGAAAATTATATTATATATATATATATATATATATATATATATATTTTTCTTTGTTTATCTAATTATAATTAGATACTGCGACTACTTTGCTGTTTTAACTTTTTGCACTTATATTTATAGATTTTGAAGCGCTGAATTCAAATCTGTAATCAATTTTTCTCTAACACGTCTAGTTTTTCTACAATTCGAATAATAAATATTGTCTCTTCTGTATAGTCATTAGTCATACAATAATGTGCGATATATTCGTCGAATTATTATTATTATAAACTGAATGTCGTCTACTTTACTGAAATTTTAATCTTATCTTTATTAAATTTTTTATCTTATAGTAGTTCAATTAAATATATTTTTAAACTCACACAATTTATGTTTATTCTCTATAGTTACGTTCATTTTAGTCTTCATAAAATATCCGAGTTGTACCTATATCACCTTTCTTAGAGTTTATTTGTGCGATTTTTGATTATCAATTTTTTTTTAGTATGACGTCTAAACCAATTAAAAGAAGATGTTGTAAAAACAACTCAAATTTATTTTGTTATATATGTGGTGAATATGTTATAATGAAACAACAAAATAACATTACAAATTTTGTTAAAAATGTATACCAAGAATATTTTGGTATTCATTTAGGCGATCAAAATAAATCTTGGGCACCCCATATTGCTTGCCGATCCTGTGTTGAAAGTTTGCGAAATTGGAAACAAGGTAAGCGTTTATCAATGCCTTTTGCAGTACCAATGGTTTGGCGAGAACCAAAAAATCATATTGATGATTGCTATTTTTGTATGGTTAATATTTCCGGTTATAATAAAAAAAAATAAATCGAATATAATTTACCCAAATTTACTTTCTGCTATACGACCAATACCACATGACCCTGAATTACCAGTGCCTGTACCATCCAAAGCTTTCGAAACTATTTTAAACCACGATACTTCTATAGATTCCGCTGGCAATTCTAGTAATAATGACGAAGACTTTCAACTTGACACCACAGATGCTCCACAACTTTTCAATCAATTTGAATTAAATGATTTAGTACGTAACTTAGCTCTTACTAAAGAGGCAGCTGAAATTTTGGGTTCGAGACTCAAAGAAAAAAATTTACTTGCAAAAGCTACTACTTTTTCTTGGTACAGGAATCGTGAAATGGAATTCAAACAATTTTTTTCAAAGGAAGGACCACTTGTATTTTGTAATAATATTTCTGGATTAATTAAACATTTTGGCAAATATTATGATGTGAATGAATGGAGGTTGTTTATAGATTCATCTAAAAGAAGTCTAAAAGGTGTTTTACTTCATAACGGAAACCAGTTAGCGTCTATTCCCATTGCACATTCTGTACATTTAAAAGAAACGTACGAAAACTTACATTTAATGTTAGAAAAAGTTCAATATCCACTACATAAGTGGATTGTTTGTGGTGACTTAAAAGTTTTGGGAATGTTATTAGGTCAACAAGGTGGCTTATATAACCTATAAGGTTATAGTATAGGTTAGTATAGGTTATAGTATAGGTAAATGTTATACTATCTTGTAAAAAAACTAGACGTGATAGAGACAAACTAATTTCAGATTTGAATTTTGCGCATTAAGATCTATAAGGATCAGGTATTATTATACAAACAACAAAAATAACCAAAAAGTTCACCACATTACTCCCCCTCAGCAGAGGAGAAAATGATGTATGAATTTTCGAAGTCGCCTGTGTTGCGTGTCGTCGCTCAATCGTATTTGATAGTTGAGTTTTTAAAGGATAGACTTCAATAAAATACTCAATTGTAATTTTAACTGTTTATTTAGCATAAAAAAAACATTAATATAAGAAATAATGTGGCGTGAAGGTGCTTGCGACTGTACATGTAAACCACATCTGAATATTGGTCTGTTCCCAACCCCCTTATATACTTAGGTTTGGTGAAGATCAAACGTGCCGCGCTGGGCGATAGTTGTTTTCAACTATAATAAATAATTTGTCTCTAGCCCGCTATTTATTACCTAGATGACCTTATTCGCACTTATTCCATATTTGTCACGACTTTTTCCCAGTTACAATCCTACATATAACCATGCGATTCACATATAATATATGTACTGGTTTATCTTCTGACTTTTAACTAAAATTCATTTCTATTTTTACGACTGCAAATATTGTGTTAATAATAATCATTTTCTTGATATCTACTATTTATGATCTACATGGTCCCGTCCATGTCGTATGAGTCGTAAGGACCTACATTCATGTATGTCCGCAACACCTGAATGCTGCAGGACTGACTGGCGTAGAAATGGTTGGTAAGTGGATCGTCACGTAAGATGAACGCCGGCTTATGTCGATCCACGGAGATCCATGACGTTCGACTACCCAGCTGCAACTTGAAATTTTTTTTCCGTCGTTCCAGCACGGCGTATGGACCTTCTAGCGCGGGTGAAGTGGAGCGTGTTGTGCGTCGACCCGCACGAAAACACGACTCACGGTGTCGAGTTGCGTCGGAACGAATATGCGTCTGGACGGGTCGTGGTTCGTCCCGGGTGCCGGTCGCAGTTTAGCCATGGACGATTTTAAAGTCGTGACTAAATCCGGCGGACTGACTTCTTGAGGCGCCGCGTGGAACAATTCGCCTGGAAGTCGGAGAGACGTTCCATACACTAACTCGGCCGGAGTAACGCCGACGTCTGCTTTAATAGTGTTCCGAAGTGCGAGGAGTACTATGGGCAGGTGTTGTGTCCAATTCGAGGATTCTTGTGCGGCGAGAGCCGACTTGAGCGTTCGATGGAATCGTTCAACCAGCCCGTTTGCCTGCGGATAGTACGGGGAGGTGCGGACGTGTTGGATTCCGAAAGTGCTGTTGAGCGCTCGCATAAGGTCAGACTCGAACTATCGCCCTTGGTCGGTCGTGACGATGTCTGGGATGCCAAAGCGGGCGATCCAATTTGTCACCAACGTGGAGGCGACGGTGTGCGCACACATGTTATCGATAGACCACGCCTTCGGCCAACGCGTAAAACGATCGATGCAAGTAAGCAAATACTTGACGTTGTTCGAAGCCGGTAGTGGGCCGACGAGGTCCAGATGTATATGTCCGAAACGCCGCTCGGGGGGGGGGAACGGCGGGGGGGGGGGGGCCGCGGGGCCGCGGGGGGGGGGGGGGGGGAACGGCGCGAGTAGTAACGCCGTGTGCCTGTGGACCTTAGCCCTTTGACACGGTTCACACGTTTTGACCCATCGGCGTATCTCTCGATCCATCCCCGGACAGACGAAGCGTTCTTTGATTATCCGACAGGTGGCCGCGACCACGCCGTATGCCTGGCGGTGGAGAGTGTTGAAAACAGCGCGACGTCTACTCTGCGGAACAAAAAGCCTCGATCTACCGTTTGTCACATCGAAATAGACCGTCCCATTCACAGTTTGCCGCGCCTCGAGTTCCAGCGACGATTCGGTGCTGCCTGTGATGATGCCTTGCAGTTCCGCGTCACCAGCTTGTTCCGCCGCCCACTGGCTAAGATTCGGCAATCCGTTCTCGAGCGCTGCCAATTCGAGACGACAAAGCGCGTCCGGTATTATGTTACACTCGCCACTTACGTATTCCACTTCTTGAAAAAATTGCGACAAAAAGGCAACGTGTCATGATTGTCGATCGATCAGTTTTTCGGTCTTCTGTGTAAACATAAATAGCAATGGTCGATGATCCGTGCGAAGAGTTACGTGCCTGCCTTCAATCTTGTGCACGAAGTGTCGAGTGGCGAGGTAGGCGGCGAGTAACTCGCGGTCGTACGCACTATATCGTGTTTGCGCGCCGGAGAGTTTACGCGAGAAGAATCCAAGCGGTTGCCAGTCACCTCCGGCGAACTGTTCTAGAACCGCTCCGACGGCAATGTTCGATGCGTCGGTACTAAGGCGCAACGGTGAATCACGTTGTGGATGCACTAACCATGCCGTATTGGCAAGTATCTCCCGACAAGCGGAAAATGCCTCGCGTGTGGTGTCAGTCCTCGAGAGTAGATCATCGCGCTTCTTCACTGCGGTGGCAATGGCGTAGAGCGGCGCTTGGAGCTTAGCCGCGTCCGGGATAAATCGATGATAGAAATTAAGCGAACCGAGAAAACGCTGTAGTTCCTTTTTGGTGCTCGGCTGTGGCCACAGCCGTATGGTGTTAACATTGTCCGGATTTGGGCGTTCGACGATGTGCCTGAGAAATGTGAGTGAGTCCGCGGCGAAAACGCATTTTGCCGGATTAATGGCTATCCCGAATTCCGAGAACCGGCCAAGAACCGTACGGACGTGCTCGACATGTTGGTCTGCACTCACAGATGCAATGAGGACGTCGTTAACGTAGGCGAAAACGAAATCAAGCCCAGCTAACACCGAATTGACCAACCTCTGAAATGTTTGCGTGGCGTTGCAAAGACCAAAACACATAACTGGGAATTCAAACAGGCCGAAAGGTGTCGTAACGGCTGTCTTATGTATATCATCGGCAGCGATGGGGACTTGATTGTAAGCCCAGACTAAATCAAGCTTAGTGAAAACGACCTTTCCCGCGAGATTTGCTGTGAAGTCGTGCAAATATGGCAATGGGTAACGATCCGGAACGGTGACATGATTGAGCCGGCGGTAGTCCCCACAGGGTCGATACGACCCATCCTTCTTGGGTATCAGAAGGAGTGGGCTCGCCCATGAACTGTACGAGGGGCGGCAGTTCCCCTGCTTTTGCATGAGATCGAAATCACGACGTGCGATAACAAGCCGGTCGGGTAGTAACCGTCGTGGGCAAGCAAAAAGTGGCGGCCCTGTCGTCTGAAGTACGTGTTCGACTCCGTGCCGGAATGACTCAGGAACGGGTGACTCATGGGTCACGGACGGAAAATTGTTACGTGGTACCCAATAAAAACAGGTACCTATCGTAATGATGTTGTTGGATCGGGATAAATTTGATTAAACAATTATTTCAAACACTTGTAAATACTTTAATAAACACAGACATAGATACAAAAAAATATAAATTATAAATTCGTGCACTAACAATATCGAGACGCAACTCGGAAGGGCTTAGTCTGATAGCTGGACACGTCTGCCGTTGGTGGTGAAACGGAGCCTTTATATACTCTGTTGATTCTGTTTTAATTGTGTTGTTTTCGACACGTGGCTGTCCTTGGTCTTGGTCTTCATATCCAAGTGTTGTTTCATCACTTGGTTGCCCTTGGCCTTGATTGTCTTTTTCGAATGATGATGTTGTTGTGGTTGTTTGAAATTCGCGCGTGGCGCCCATTAAGATTTATGCAATAGTACGTTTTTCCTTATACGACTCAGGAATATGCGTATTATTATTTCTCAATAATATATGCATATTACAAAATCCTGGAGCAATGCATACCAGCCGCGGACATGTGCGACAGCGAAGAGTGGAGCGTTCGTTGAAGTTGTGGAGGTCACTGCACAGGTGACTGTTCGCTTGTCAGTTGGATCGACGAGACAATGGCGACGAACGTCGACGAGCAGGCCGAAGTAATGAAGAAAATCTGCTCCGATAATGGCGCGCGAGACGTCCGTTGTTTCAAACGTCCATGGGAACGCACGCGAAAGACCAAGGTCGATGTTGAGGGTCTTAGGGCCGAATGTTTTAATGCGAGTACTATTAGCAGCTGTGAGATGAACGTCGGACAGTTGACGAGCAGAGTGGTTGTGCGGAATAACTGATATTTCTGCGCCCGTGTCGATTAAAAACAGTTTGCCAGAACGGAGGTCGTTAATGTATACCCGCGTAGAATTACTCACGGCATGCAGGGCGGGTGTCCTGTCCGTGGTGTCTAGTTTTCCGCCGGGGGAGCCGCACCGGCGTCCTGCCCATTCGGTTTAAAATTGCACGGCGGGCGACAATTATGCGTCTTGCTACCGTACAAGCATGGTAGTAACACTCTTGTGTTAGTTGTTGCACGTCGTAACGTGCCGGTCGTTGGCGCCGCTGTTGCGCGGGGTCTCTGGACGAATTGACGATCTGCGAGAGAGACTGCACCTGCTGAGTCAATGCAGACACGGCGCCAGCTAACTCTGTGAATTTATCTTGGGCGAACGCGTCTATATTTTGGAAGTTCGATGCTTCCATCACGCGGTCTGCTCGCGAGGCAAGAGCGTCTAGCGAGCCGTCGATGCTGGAAATGATGGCCATAACATTAGACGGTAGCTTCTGCAGCCAAAACTCTTTCAACGCGTCCTCTCCAATGCCAGACGGCATGTTGTTAGGCATTGTGATGGATGGTGGTCGCCTATGCTACCAGGCTTGACAATTTCGCGGAAACGGACGGACTTTGGCAGTTCGTATGCGTCGATCAGTCGGACGCAGATTGTGTCGTAAGACGCGGAAGGTCCGAGTAGGTCACCGACGGTTTGCACTCCTTCTTCGTCCAATGCTCCGACTACAAAGTTAACTTTTGCTGCGTTTGACCTGATGCGTTGGTTCACGAAGACGGACTCTATGTGCGTGAACCAGAACTCTGGCGACTGTCTCCAAAATGCTGGGAGGCGTATATTACTGATAGCATCGACCGCCGGATTCGTGACGGCTTCGGTCGGTGTATCTTCGCCGTGTGCATTGCTCATGGTGATTCACGAGCGTCGGCGGGAAAATACACTTAACGGAACGGTTTTGCGAACGGTCACGGCGGAGCGCGTTTCGAAATCGTGTGCTATTCCCGGACCTTCGATAAGAATATCGTGATGGTCTTCAGGGCGTACTGCGTGTTTGACTTGCGAGGTCACCAATGTGGCGAGCGCGCGGATGCACGTTGATAAGGTTTGACGGTATGCTATCCGCGCACCGCAAACAAATGAAAGGCTATGGCGTCGATATAAGATATATATATAATATATTATGAAAAAATAATGAATAACAATAACGACACCACGTTTCGAATAATAAACGATTGTATATATTTTACACGGTATGAAAACAATACATATATATAATAAAAAACAAGAGGACTCGCGTGAGTTGAAAGAGTCGTCGGTCAAAAAAACACGTGTATATGTGAAACGAGACGGAAAAAGAAACGGGTGACAGCTGCCCTGTCGTGGCGGTTGTTCGCGTCGTCGACAACCATGGTGACCAACCGCCCAACAACAATGTTACCACCTCCGAGCGGGAATTATGTGGTGATGGTTCACCACAATATTATACATGTGATAATGTCACTGCAGAGCCTGCAGCTGTTCTAGTGTGGCGACGTTCGTCCTACACGACCGACGTTCGTTCACAAGTGCTACTGACCGCGGTTACGGTTTGTTCCACGACTGGTTCATCTTTCGTACCGCGCATCGTATCTCTTATAAAAACAAACAAAAAACCTCTTTCTATTCCGTCTTCCGTCGCGTTTTTTGTCAACGATCGTACTGTCGTACTCGTGTCATATTTTTTGGATTTAATAAACTTCT